AGATACAGGAGGAAAAATGAGAAACTCACCAACATTTTGGTGGTATTTTGAAATCTAGTCAAGATCTTCCCCAATCTACCTGTTACCATTTACTTTTCTGAGTCCTCAAATAGGTGCTCTGTGGAGGTTTTATAGCTGTAGTTGCTCCAGAGTTTTTAGCTGCATAGAGTGGCAGAGACAGGGTTTCATCTTTCTCAGAACCTTGGAATAACTTTTAAAGAGAGGGAATTGGCAACTAACAAAGAGAAGAGTAAAATATATTAGATGTTTTTGCTTTGGAGGGAAAAATAAAAAATGAAGGCAAATATTCCTGGTTGTTGAAACTTCATTTATGCTCACGTTGAAAACTAGAAATGTCATGTGGGTAAATATGAATGTGGATTTGGTATTAGTTTTCTCTTGATACATACATAACAAATTACCACAAATGTTACTGGCTTACAACAACACAAATGTATTGTTTTGTCGGAAGTCTGGGTGGGTTCATCTGGAGTCTCTGCTCAGAATCTCACAAGGCCAAAATCAAGATGTATGTTGGGCTGTGCTCTAATCTGAAAGTTCCAGGGAAGAATCTACTTCCCAACTCATTCCAGTTATTTACGTAATCCAGTTCCTTGTGGTTGTAGGACTAAGGTCCCCAATTCCTTGCTAGCTGTTGGCCACGGCTTCTCTCATCTCTAGGGCCATCCATTTCTTCTCACATAATCTCCATCATCCTCAAAGCAGCAGTGACATATAATAGAGCCTTTCTCGTGCTTCATCTCTCTCTGACTTTCCCTTCTACCTCCTCCTTTTAAAGGGAGGCCCACCAGATCAGGCCCACCAGATAATCTACTGTTTTAAATCCAACTGTCCTAAGATATTTATCACAACTGTGAAATCTCTTTTTAGCACAGTAGTACCTAGATTTGTGTTTGATTCAATAACCAGGTGACAGGAACCTTGGGGAGAAAAGCCATCTTTACAATTCTGCCCAGCACAGAACCAGATTAGAATGTTTTAGAGTGCTCCAGCACAAAGTGACCAGATGTACTTCATGTCGTGTTTGAGGCCTGATGCCAAGTGTTAAAGATGAAAAATGTGCACTTGCAGACCTTCTTGATTGGTGGGAAATATAATCTCATTTAAAAATACTTGTGCAGGGACGGTTTTGCAGATCATCTTCTTGAAGAAAATGCTAAGCAGCATCCTGAAGATTAGGTGTTAAGATAGAAAGGGCATGTTAGACAAAGGAGCAACATAAGCAAAGGCCTAGTGGTGAGATAGCATGGGTTGGGAAAGTGAGCTCTAGAAACTCTGATATATCTGGAACTTTAAACTGTGAGGTGGGCAATGGCTGTAGCTAAGCAGAAGCAGGGCCTTTCCTCGTCCCTGCCCCCATTCTAAGGAGCTTGGTCTTTTACCCCATAGGTAAAGAAGAGCCATTAAAGAGTTTTGTGCAGGAGTGAGCCAATCAGGATCATATTTGAAACAAATCACTTGGAAATTACTCTGGAGACTGTATTAACTGGAAGCCATCTAGACAGAGAAACCATTTAGGAGGCTTTATAACAGCTGAACACTATCAAAGGCATGGAGGGGAGAAATGAGGAGTGGCTGGAATGCTGAGAGAAGTGGATTGGATTCAAGCAATATTTTGGAAGTAAAATTGACAACTTGATCATTGAGTGGACCAGGAAAAGAGGGAATGAAATGAGTAAAAAAGTCAGATTTCTAATTCGAGCCACTTGGTAAATGATAGAGCCTGTCTGAGAGGGGTTAATGGATTGTTCTAGATGAATCGATTTGATAAGCCTGTGGGAATTCAATAGAAAAGAAAAATTCATTATGTTTCCTTTATTACATCATTAAATACTCATTCAGTATTTACTGTAGACCAGACATAGTTTAGGTGCTCCGAGTAAGATCCAACAGTCCTTACTGCCCAGGAGCAAACAGTTCATTGGACTATGACAGATTCCTAAGGAGATAACTATAAAAGTGTATAATATAAATAGATGTCTGATGATGGCCCAGTGCACAGGATATTCTGGAAGCAATGAATGAGAGGATGTCAAGAAGCGTTTCCTAGAAGAAGTGACTCATGGGCTAAGTCTCAGAGGATGAGTTAGGCAAGTAACCAGGGGTCTAAAAAGTTTTTCCTGTGTCACTGGGACCACAAATGACCCATGGGTGCCTGAGATATGAGAGTTCATACTGAAGTAGTAGTCAGCAACCTCCATATATACCATTCATTCCACGGATGCTTTACCAGCCTACAGTCAGGGAAAATGGATCCCTTAGCTTTAGCAGTTGGTTTAGGTGGATATTAGGGCTACTTTCTGCATCAGTCACTAAATTGTTTCCTTGGCTTCAGGATGAACACTTATGACACATAGTTTAAGTCGTCATGTTATGAATCCAAGCAAAAGCAGATAGCTTCAGGCCCCAACATCTGAGTCTTCTTTCTACTTTAGCTTTGTTTTGTTTTTCTGTTGTTGCTGTCATCTATTGAGATTGTGCTTTCTTTTTGCAGGGGAGGGGTGAAAGGTGATGTCATTTTCTGTGAGACTACAGAATTTGGAAGCCCACATAAAAGATTGTCTAGGCAGAGCAAGTATGGGTCATTTGTTTTGCCCGCCAGCTTCTTTGAATACCCCAAATTCCGCAAGTCGTTAACAGTGCCCTTGAAGCGCCGCTGGTTTGGGTATCTGCATGCAAAAAAAATGAAGTTAGACCCCTACCTTACACAGTACACAAAAGTTAAGTCGAGAAGGATTGTAGACTTAAATGTAAGAGGTAAAACTATAACACTCATAAAAGAAAACATAAGTGTAAATATTTGTGATCTTGGGTTAAGCAACCTTTCTTCACATGACACCAAAGATATATTGCGCTTTATAAAAATTATAATAGATATATTGGGCTTTATAAAAATTCAAATCGTGCTGCAAATGATACCATCAAAAGAAAAACCGAAAAGACATTCCGTAGAATGGGAGAAGATATTTGCAAATCCTATATCTAATAGGGACTTGTATTCAGAATATATAAAGTGCTAATACAATTCAATAATAAAAAGACATATAGCCCAATTTAAGAATGAGCAAAGGATGTGAATGAACATTTTTTCAAGAATATATACAAATAGCCAATAAGCACATGAGGAAATGTTCAACCTCTTGGTCATTAGGGAAATGCAAACCAAAATCACAGTGGAATACCACTTCACACCCATGAGGATGGCCATAATCAAATATAACCTAGCAGTCCCTCTCCTAGGAAGATACCTAAGGGAAATGAAAATTTGTCCAAACACAAATTTGCACATGAATGTTCATAGCAGCCAAAAAGTAGAAACAACCCAAATGCCCATCAAGTGTTAATGGATAAATAAAATGTGGTATACCCATATGATAAAGCATTATTCAGTCATTAAAAAGAATACTGATGATATATATTTCAACATGAATGGACCTAGAAAACATTATGCTAACTGAAAGAAACCAGACATAAAAGGCCAATATTATATGATTCCACTTATATGAAATGTCTAGAACAGGCAAATCTGTAGAGACCTTAAATTAGCGGTTGCCTAGGGCTGGGAGATGGGAAATGGGTGGAGAGTGACTGCTAAGTGGTATGTGTGTGCGGCGATGATAATATTCTGGAGTTAGATAGTGGTGATAGTTTTTAGTTCAATACTAAAAATCATCGAATTATACACTTTAAGTAGGTAAATTGTTTGGTATGTAAGTTGTATTTCAATAAGATGTTTTTACAAAAAAGTAATTCCTTTAAGTTAGGATGTTTGTTCCTGTTTAAAAAATAAGGAGAGCAAGGAACTTTTTAATATTGCGGAAGAGTGACACAGATGTCTGATTCTTTCCATTCAACAGCTAGTTAGAAGCAGGACTCTCAGAGTTTTGCTAGGTCTGATTAAAGAACTACAAGAGAAGGCACACTTAAAAGAGATGGTATCCTGAGGGAGTCTGGTTAGCCAAGACATCTGAGGAAAGTGAGACGAGGTCATCCTTATGAAGAGGGATGTAAATAATGAAATCATTAATAAAGAATATTAACTTTATCTGCTTAGTAACTTTGCTATTCCTAGCTTCATTTGGCATTACGTCTTGTATTATATCTTCAGGCTCCAGTGAAAAAGAGCACTTGTTAGATTCAGTTAAGCTCAAATGTTTATGGGACACATACATATGCAAGACACACTGTACCAGTCACTGGGTATAAATATGTAAGACAGGCTCTGCCTTTGTGACCCAAAGAGTCTTATGTCTTATTAATAATAAAAACAGAAGAAAGTGAAATAAAAAGGCAAAAACAGAAATAATAAAGCTAGTTAATTTTAACATCAGGTGGCTAAGTGGCAGATAAGGACAACTTCTGGTATATGGTACATATAAAATGGACTATAGGTTTTAAGAAATTTCAGGCTACCTATGATGACATATTAGACATTTTATCAGTGCAAACTATAGGGAAAGTTTCCTCTTCTGGTTTGCAGCAGGTCACGAAAGAGAAACAAACATTTTCTGCCTATACTTGATCAGAGAATGGCAGGGGAGGCTACTTCAGTTAATTAATTGGACACGTATTTACTAATACCAGTATTTGCATCAAACTGTGTGCTGGATACTAGAAGTCATTTTACCTTGGAAGAAGGGATGCAAGTTGGAAAGGCTGCTGGAAACTGGAAAAGCTACTTCATTTTGCCTCAGCGGGAGGGCAGAGGTAGATGTCCATGTTTGGCCTTTATCAGGAACAGACAGCCACATGGATTAAGGCAGGAATGTCAGCATGTAAGTAGTCCAGGGAAAGTGTTCCTTCAAGTAACTACATGGAAAGAATAGTTAGGTGATGAGTAAAAGAATTACAACATCTGGCATTCTAATCAGCCCGCAATACAGGTGTTGGGAAACATAAATAGAAGCTTGACAGGGAAGTAAAGGCTTATATTTGATAAGAGAGCTTCAGTAATTTTCTTATCTTTTTCAATTCAATAGCAGATATCAACTTGGATATATCAAAGCCTTTGAAAGCAAACCTGAGTTTTACCAAGCTGGATCAGATAAACCATTTTTTAAAGAAGATCAAAAGTGCACGCCACAAAGAGACTTCAGCCCTGTCGCACACCATGCTGCATAAAGATGAGCCTCCAGCCTCCAAGTGTTACCGTGGAAAGTTGTCTAAACCTCAAGTTCATGGTGATGGAGCACAAAAGGTTCCATTCCAGGAAAACATGTGGAGAACTGTTTCCTGCTTTCAAAAAATTTCTGTCCATACGACTCAGATTGTGGTCTCTGTGGAAACTGTCCCCCATCCTAATAAACCATGCCTGTTAGCATCTTTATCAACCCTCACTGGAAGCTTCAATGTTAAAGCAGCACAGAAAGTACCTGGTAAGTCACAGAAAAGGGGAGGGGGAGATGACAGTATGACTTGTTAACGTCTGAAAATGTATAATTTTGATGATTTATATTATTTAGAGGTTAAAAGTTTTAAGGGCCATTAGCGACGGCCCTTATTTTAGAGAAAATTTTATAACACATCCTTTGAGCTTAAGTGTTTTAATGCTCTGAACTAAACTGTTTCAATTTACCTCTTCAGGCATGTTCCTTAAAGTGTCTTTAACCCATTTCCCGTTTAGAAAAAAAAGTGCAGCTCGCAGCCAGCGTTAATTTAATTTTACATAAACACGCTCTTTGAGGCTGAAGCAAATCTGACTGGTTCTCAATGTGAAAATAAAATATAAAAACAGTTCCTGGAGTTATTTCTAAACAGAACTTGTCTCTAATCCTAATGTGACAGAAATATAGACGTAAATCGGATTCATCAAATGAATCTTCGGCTAACAACTGAGAATGAGGTTAATATCATGCGTAGGAATGCTACATTTTCTAGGATTTGACGTTTTTCAGCGATCGAGAATTACTATATTTTGTAAATGAAAATACCACTACTAAAAACAGAATGCCGTAGAATGATGTCATTTGTTTCCAAAGACTACCTATATATTAGAACGATGCGAAAACAATAATGAAAGTGAGATACTTCCTAGCAAACTATGGGGGTAAGGTTAGGGCTCTAATCTGTGAGTCACCTCGAGGTAAACGCTGAAGCCACAAGCACCGCTGTCGAGTATTCTAGGGGCAAACAGGAAATAAGTTAAAACTGTTGATTCCTAATTTTTATTTATTTATTTGTTTGTTTGTTTGTTTGTTTTATTTTACCTAAAACAGCTGTAGTGGAACAAGAAATGGTTTTATGAACCATTAGAGTAGTGGTTCTCAGGATATGGTGTCAGAACCAATACCATCAGCATCACCTGGGAACTTGTTAGAAATGCAGATTTTCAGACCTCCCCCTGACCTACTGAATCAGAAACTCTGGGCATGGAGCCCAGAAATCTGTGTCGCAAAAGCCCTACAGGTGATTCCGGTGCACTGTATTAAGTCACTGGTAACAGTTTACTTAAAAAAGAGAAGTTGCTTTAGTGGCAGGCATGCTACACAAAGTGTAATAGCAAAGGCTATGCTTCTGTGCCAAGCCTAGCAAAGAGAGGCATGGACCCTGCAAACTGAAAGTCGCCCATGGGTGGAGAGGTGAGAAATTAACAGGCAGCGCCATCTATATTTTCCTCTTTTGTTACGTGACCGAATCATTATTTGCTTTTTCACACTGAATCAAAAAGGGTAGGCCAAAGGAATGTGAGGAGGGAAAAAGAAAAGACAAGGCACAGGTGGGAAATAACAGTTTTCAGTCACTGAAACTGCTACTGTAAAAGTTCAGGGCACAATGCCAGAAATTTCACTTTGAAAGTAAAAGTAGCAAAAGGGAAACATTTTTTTCCACTTTAATTTACAGGAAAGCTTTGGGGATATAAGGGTAGTGCAGGGGATAAAATAAATCCTGAAACTATATGCAACTTCGTTGCTTACTAAAAAGTAATTAAGTGGCAGCTGGAAACTAAATAAAACTTAGTTCCATATAGCCAGTTTGGGCACAGTAGTTTAAGAGATAAAGAAAAAGTTTTATAGTTGAGAAGTATGAATTTTAGGCCAAAAAATAAATGATTTATTTCTTTCTCACCAGAAATACTTGTGATCAAGCCAGCTAAAAGCACTGTATTTTTTTAATTCTCTTAAAAGTTAGAAATGAAAAATGTAAGGTCCTTGGGACATGGAAGGTTATGAAACACTGGAGGCTAAAATGTCTGATTTATCCACAAATAAATTGCAACCCAGACAACACTGGGCCTGTTCCCACGCCTTTCCAGTTGTACCTTAATCACATAGCGGAGAAAGGTTAGGACTCAAACAGAGTGAAAGAATTTAAATGTACTGTACTCAATTCTAGGTCCTTTTTTGTTCATCCTCATTTCTTATTTTGTTCATTAGCTGCTCATATTTTATCCATGCTTAATGATGTCTATCCTTGGTAACATCTCTAAAATATAATTAAAATCCTCTCCCTAAGCTATACCAGTTTGTAGACTTACTCTGTTTTTATAACTTGTTTTTTCCCCTTCATACTAGAAAAACTATGTACCCTTATATTACTTTTACAATTATGCTCTTAAATCTAGTTAAGCACAGAAGTAGAAACTATAGCTTTGGCTAAGACATAAATTATACAACTTTAATTGTAGTATCCAGTAAATGTTCTATAATAGTTATTTGGGTCAGCAAACCAAAACAAATCGAAGCTATTCAATAGGAACTATTTTATTATGAGAGCATAACGAACACTAATCTATTTTGTCTACATTTCTGCTTAATGTAATGGCATGCTCAAACATTTTAAGAAAACAAAGTCAGCAAAATAATAAGTTAAAATTAAGTGAAATAAGATTGTGTTAAGTTCTAGTTATTGCTGAAGGCTGGTTTCTAGGAAATTGTAATGGAGAGATTACATATTTTTCAAAAACTTGATTTTTAACTAAGCAAAATTTTTTAAAAGTGAAATACAGTTTAAGCTTTGGACATTAATTTTGTTGTATAGTTGAATACCTTAATTCATGTTTTGCAATTTGTATAAAATAGATGCAAATATATATTCAAGGTATAGTTTTGATAAGTGGTAAAAAGTATCCCTCACAAAAAAAAAAAAACCTTCTACCAGTAATCATATTTCTTTTTGCATTTTTCAAATGACATCGTTCTGCATTCAACCAAAAATTTTTATAGTATATCTTTGAGCTCTACAGAGTTCATGTCAGATTTTTATAGTTTGAATCTAATACAAAAATACTTAACTGCGTCTTTGATTTTATAGTTTATATAACTATTGTGACCATCTGCAGCAGCTGCACTTTTCAAATTATTTGCTGAACCAAATTGAGCACAGTGACAAAAGTAGTCATCTCAGATATACTGTTAAACAGAGAAAGAAAAAGGAGCATTGCCGTGGTACAGTATAGCCATCTGCTGTACAGATGTTATTGTATAGAATGACTTAAGATAAAATAATTGTAGAAAATTTTCATTAAAACCTCAACAATTTGCACTTGTTTATGCGAATCTGCATAACTCCCCAATGAGACAACACACTTGGGGTTTCTTTGGTTCTCACTCACTTTCTCTTTGATCCTTTTTGATGTGCTGACTTTAATAAACACAGTCAAAAACACTGTGCAAAAAACATCATGGAAAAAACTACAAAGGAACAATTATAGCAGCAGAAACTACTCTAATCCCTAACTTACGCAAGCTATTTTTAGTGAAATATTTTTTTAACACTCTTTATGTGACAATGTTATATAAACAGGGTAAAAGAGTCCTTTCCAGATGAGTTTTAATTTAGGAGCTGAAATTGATTTGTAATGCTAGAGGAATCTTATGTTCTAAGTAATATTTAGAGAAACACAATTGGGAATGTGTTGTAGGCATGTTTCCTCACTTCTGAAAGGTACAAAAATATTTGAGTTTGCCTAATGATTATATTTTTTATCATGTAAACTGTCATAAGCTTATGGGAACTCTATGGGAAAAGGGAATAATAAGAGTGAAGGGGGAAAGTTAATTTTCTTCCCAAGACATTGTCAATACATTTAAATATGAAATGCTTTTATATTCATTTACTGGTTTTTACAACAAAATATGTACAAATTATTCACTGAAATATTTTCATCGTTTGAAACAAAATGAAATGGTTATTTTCTTTCCCCTTAAAAGAAAATCTGAGTTTTTCCTAGCCTCTGTAGTATTCTACAATGCTCAACTATGGGTTTCAAGCAACTTGATTTTTTTTTAATTCCACTCTGCAGATGTTAGCGTAATTGCGACTTAATGATAATTTAACTTGTGTTTCTGCTAGAACACTATGTTCTCCTGTATTTTATCAGTAAAAGAGCCCTAAAGTTCTGATTTTAGTATACATAATGCTTGCATTTTTAAAGGTGGAGTATAATATTGCAGAAAACCCTATGATCGTGTTATCAATAACAAAACCTCATTTAGAAATTATATCTTATTTTCTGAATAATTTAAGGCATATAATATTTCTCCTGCTGTCTACTTAATCCATCCCATTCTATAGTATGTTCTTTTTAAAAACAACACCCTTTCCCTCACATACACACACACAACACAATCTTTTTTGCCATTTGAAGTGTGTCGTTTTGGAGAAACCATAAATATGTAGCTATCAATTCTGCACTAGCAGTGTAGTTCCCCTTGTCAGAGTAAATTATGGCTCTGTTAAGGCGACAGTCCTTAGATTTCGGCAAATAAGGGTGCACAATCCAAGCTGCGAAATAGCTGTACTTTAGGCTGCCTTCCTCCTTCCCACGGGCACTTAGATTAGCAACCTTCATGTAGTTAAGGAAAGGGGAAATAGGATACGAACAAGTTAGGTGGCACAGAGGATTGGGGGAAGAACCTAAGTGAGGCCATCTTGGCTGGCACTTTAGTCAGAATTCAGAACAGGTTGAAAGGATCCCCTTTCCAATGAGACCAAGGGGACTTTTCATCCATGCGGAACACAATGAGTTGAACACTTTCTAGTCAAAGAGCTGTGGTTTAAATAACTTTCACTACCAGTCTTTGTCATCCAGATGTACTTATTTTAGTGTATAAACAAAAAAAGGGAAAAAATCATAACCGTCTTTTCCACATATACAAATGCCTCTTATGCTCACCAAATTCAGGACCAATGAAATGTAAAGAACCTAAAGTTCCTTTCCACATACTGAAAAGTGAAACTGGGTCATTAATTGGTAAAAGTGGAGCTCCAGCCTCATTCCATAGTCAACTGGATCTCCTGAGGATAATCTCTCAAGGCGTTGTCACAGCCGTTGGATGATCCAGGGATGCAAGTAAGCCTAAGGGGAAATAAAACATTAAATTAGATATGACTACCTAAAACAATACGTTCCAATAACAGGCCATTTACAACACCC